TCAAGCACTCTGAATCAATAACTGGCTATATTATATCTGAAACAAAGATTTAGTCAAAAAGTCAAAATATGAAACTTGGTTACAACAACCTTTCAACCTGCTGTGGCATGAGCTGCTTTTTGTGTTAAGCATGTCTTTGCAGTTTTTGGGACTTTTGATGTAAAACTTTGGAGTTTTTAGCTAAAAACCTTTAGCGCCACCCTGATTAATTATGCAGAAAGTATGTTTAGCTGATTCTCTGTAGTTCTTCATTCAAATTTGTCCTTTTATTTTTCAAAACAAGTAATTGTGCATGCCTACCTGCTGACACTAGACAACAGTCAGAATTGCACTGCTAACATACTTGAAAAAAAAATCATTTTTAACTTATGTATTGCTAAATCTCTCATCTTTGGAGTGAATCAAGTGCAAGGACCTTGCCTTAGGAACTGTTTCATTTTACATGCTTTTACTATACAGTAGTAGCAAATGATTATTAATTTTTTTTTCAATTTAAATCAAAAATATCATCAACAGTGTATGGTACAACAATTCGTTTACACTTTCATGCTGCGTGTTGCTTACTGAAGGTCATTTGCTGCACAGTGCCAAATGTTTCATTTGAACAATAATAAATATAAAAACAAAATAATTATTTTAATAAATCAGGTTTCAGTCTTAGTGTTGTGTTGAATCCTTTGTCACAAAAAGAAACATAACATGGGAAATATGTACTGGAGCTTACTTGAATTATGTAAGACAGTAGTATCTTGGTACATTGCAAAATTGAGGCACTAAAGAAAGAAAGAGAGGTGCAAAGCAAAGAATTGTAATGGTAATTCAAATTTATTACAAAAGTAATGATTTTCAGTAATGGTAATGGTTGTGATAGTTTGTTTATTGGAGACATAATGCATTCATGCACATGTACATGTATCTGTGCTTTACTCGCTCAGTTAGTCAGTGTCATACATGTAGGCCTGTGACAATTACCATTACAATTACCCAGGAATCCATTGATTTAACCACATGTACATTACATATGACTTACCGTCACTATGCTTCAGCAAATGCAACACAGCATTAATGTTACTTGTTGGACATATCCTAAATAATTAAATGTACATAGATTCAATAAGACACTATACTCCCTCTCACTCTCAGTACATGCATTGTACACAAGGGCACTATAGTGTGCATTGTGTCTGACTGTTACAATTTTGTTAGCATTTATTTGCATTCCTGTTCCCACATTGCAGCAAGTGACATTGTCTGTGATATACCAATGTACTATAAAATAATAATAATACATATAAAAATAACAATAATAATAATAATAGTAATAATTATTATAAAGCAAAAGCAACAACAGCAGGGAAGTGAACAAAACAAAATGAAGAAAACACTGGACAAGCAAAGAGAGACAAGAAAACTAATAATAAAATAAAATCAAATGAAAATATAGTTCTAATTCAGTAGTTAATTAAAAAAACTGGGGTTGATACCATTTCCATCCTTCATACCAATCCCCGACCCCAGCCATTTATGACGGGATCCTCAAACACAAATATTTAACAGCACAAATCAGTGAGAAGGACAGTTTGGCTCTTACCCAGTATAGTGTGGTACTGTGCTGGCAATCCCACTTTGTAGCTAAACTCTCAGCCAGACGTCGAACAAAGAATTCCATCTCTTTACCCATCAGCCCATTAGTGGAAATACACAATGGTGTAAAACTAGCATGTCTATCTTCACAGGCACAACCATATTTCATTTTCTTTTCCTTTTCAACATTCTTAAGAACAGTATCAGGTGTCTTGCTGATGTAAGATGGGGCATCTGTATTGATCACATGTGCATCAAAGAGAGCTGTGGCTTGAGGCTGCCAGACCCCCCCTAGCACTAAAATCAGCGATGAGGGTTTCACGTGGGGGATCTGACAAGCTTCTATCCTGAATCACTGGCTCCTTAACAGTACAGGACCAAACAAGGGAGGTTTTCTCCAACACTATGGTTTATTGGTCGATGTTCGTAGTAAAAATCTCACCTAATACAACCCAAAAGACTAATATATACACACACCAAAATACACACGATCTCACTACTCTTAAACGAGAAGGTGCGGTATAAAAGGCGGTGCCCTGGGCATGGTGGCTTCCGTTTGTTTCACGTGTAAAAATGTCTGCTCTAGACTATTTTGCTTCTTTAAGGAAAAACGCAGGCAGAGAGGGGTTTTGGTACCAAATTGAGTTACATTTTACTCTCAAAGAAGACAAGGACCAGTTTTAGTTAGGCTTGATCGAGTTAAGGGGTCTTTAGGCACTAAAAGAAGGTGCTGGAAATGCTACAGTCTCACTTACTTGCTGATTTAGTCGGGAAAGAGGGTCATAGAGGCTCTATCACATGATACTATAGTTATACTCAATACTTCAGGTAGTTACAATGTGTTTGAAATTAGTGTTAATATAAAATAAGGTATTGGTGATGGGGGACGAAGAGCAGCCATTTTGTGCGTAAATATAGGATCGGCTATTGGGGCGCACATGATTGTGATAGTGTCGCATGGTTGACTGAAGGGTGATCAATTACAGTCAGGTATTATTTATTATTATTGTTATTATTTTATTATAATAATTATCAAAATTATATTTATTTATATTATTATTATTATTATTATTATAGTATAAGTCATGTGATTTGTGCTGAATTTCAGTTCAATGATAGTTGAGTCCTGTAATCGTAACTCAAGTTTATTATGTAGTAGATACAGAAGTAAGTATAATGTGAATGTAAAGTAATCATACATTAAATGGCATTAATATTTTTTAGGCTCGTACTAGCATATACTTTTGCTGGTATATTACCATCACAGTACTGCCATATTTTGATCAGTATTACTTGGTACAGTTGGGAAGATGTACACAATTACAGGAAGCTTCTCACCATCCCCATATCCATTCAATTTTGTTATTGTATATGCTTAATAATTTAGAATAATATATTTTTTGTATTTACTACTTCCAGTGGATCGTTGAATGTTGCAACTGCTACCAGTACTAGGATCTGATTGAGGATCAAGTGGGGGTCTTTTGCTGTAACAACTTCTACTTGATGAGGGTGGCTAATAATTGGTAGTCGGCAAGGCCGCGGCCTTCTTGTCCCAGTGGTGGCAGTTCCTGGGCTGGTTTTTTTATGTAGTAATGAGGGCTATTCCTTTGCCACTATCACTTATAACCTGCCTGATAGCATTATTGACCATGTTTGTTAGGCTGTTGACAGATTTTCAGAATATACAATATAAATATTTGACAATAATGTAAAAAATTATTACTTTAAGTCAATTATACCATTTCTCTTCTTGCCATGCTTTTACCTGTGCTTGTAGGTTAACTCTCTTGCCTTTACTAATTTTAATGTTTTTATAATGCGTTTTGCTAGTGATTTAGCGATGATAAGAACAGTGCCAGTGCGGGAGCCATTTTGTTATTTTCAAATGTGGCCGCCATATTGTGCACAGGGCACCTCCTTTTATACGGTGATGGGCGGAAGCGATTCTATGATCTTGCGTGGATAGTTTTATAGTGCACCTTATTCTTTAACTCTCTCCTTTCTTCTAATCCTTTTTACTCTCCTTTTAGGGTACCCAGAATTACTACAACCGAAGAATACTCTAGCTCCAGTGAAACATAATGTCGTACATCGAATCGAAACTACAGGCCCTCCTAGTTCTGCATGTACTCGGCATTTAGTGCCTGATCGTTTGAAGATAGCCCGTGCTGAATTTGAACACATGCTACAGCTTGGAATTATACAGCCCTCCTCAAGCTGCTTTTCTTCCGCCTTACACTTAGTTCCCAAACCCACAAAAAGGTGATTGGAGACCATGTGGAGATTACCATCAACTCAACCGTGTCACTATTCTGGACAAATATCCTATCCCTCATATTCAGGATTTCAGCTCCACACTTCCTTGCTCCACTATTTTCTCCAAATTAGATCTGGAAAGAGCATATCATCAGATCCATGTACATCCAGCAGATGTTCCCAATACTGCTATAATGACTTCATTCGGTTTATTTGAGTTCTTACGGATGCCCTTTGGTTGAAGGAATGCAGCACATACGTTCCAGCGTTTCATGGATCAGGTCTTACGGGGACTTCATTTTACATATGCTTATATTGATGATGTATTAATCGCCAGTAGCAGTGAAAAAGAACATTGTCAACATCTCAAGCAAATACTTGATCGTTTGAAGGAATATGGAGTTATTGTTAATCCTAGTAAGTGTCAGTTAGGAGTTCTTTCTCTACAATTCCTTGGTCATACTGTTAACATGGATGGAATCTCTCCACTTGAGTCCAGAGTGTCTGCAGTGAGAGATTTTCCTTTACCAAAGTCACAACGTAAACTATGAGAGTTCCTGGGATTAATCAATTATTATGATTGCTTCATACCTCGATGTGCTCAAATACTCCATCCTCTCCATACACTCCTTTCTCATTCTCTCACTAATTCTGAATTGCAGTGGTCTGAGGAATGTCTCACTGCTTTTTACCTCGCTAAAACAGCTTTAGCAATCACCACTTTATTATTTCATCCTAAACCTGGTGCTGTGGTATCTATTATGAGTGGTGCTTCGGATGTAGCTGTGGGGGCTGTCCTACAACAGTCAGTACACAACCAGTGGCAACTAAGTGCTCACAAACACTCTCCAACTGAATGTCGATACAGTACTTACAATAAGGAATTACTTGCCATATATTTAGCCATTAAACACTTCAGGTACTATGTTGAGTGTCGGGCTTTTACTGTGTACACAGACCACAAGCCACTTACCTACTCTATGAACACTAAGTCCGAGAGATCTTTACCTCGATAGGCTCGTCACTTAGACTACATATCCCAATTCATTTTGGACATCCGTTATACTAAGGGAATTAATAATGCTGTTGCTGATGCGTTATCACGAGTAGAGCTAAATCAGGTGGAGAAAAACCCTCCCATTATTGATCTGGAAGCAATGGCTGCTGCACAGGGTAATTATGAGTTCTTGACACATGATACTCCCACACATTCTCTTTCCTTACAGCATACTCCTCTATATCTACTCATGTTGTTGTTAGACGGGATTCAGTTAAACGACCATTGCAATGTCCGTACGATGGTCCATACAAAGTTCTTAACAAGTATTTCACTATAGACCTTCAGGGTAAACATGATAACGTCAGTATCGATCAATTAAAACCAGCCTATTTTGAGTCTCTTAATTCCGTGTCCTCTCATCATAATTCATCTACTCATTCTCCTACTGCTCTTTCTTTCTCAGACACTGCACGCTCGGATACCAATGTTACTCGTACAGGTCGGTGTGTCAGGTTCCCCCGATGACTCAATCTATAAACTGGTATGTCAATTTATTATCATTATTATTGTTATTATTGTTACTATTATTATTGTTATTATTAATTATTACTATTATTATTATGACCATTATGATTTGCAATCATTGAAAGAGAATATATATATATATATATATATATATTGTTATTATTATTAGTATTATTATTATTATTATTATTATTATCATTATTATTACTATTATTATTGTTGCTGTTACCATTGTCCTTATTGTTACACTTGCTTCTCTAATTTTCTCCTCTTTATTATTCATAACTTTGCTATTAATTACATTATCCTTATTTTTCACTTTTTCCTATTCTTGTTTCTCAATTTTGTCTTTCTCTTCTATTCTTCTTGTATTTCTTTTTTTTGTATCGCTCGCCTCCTCTCTTGGGGGGAGTAATGTAGTAGATGCCATGTGCTTATGCGCATGCGCATCAGAGGCACATGTTCAATGTCCTTTAGTCTTCTCTATCTCTCTATTCTCTATCCCTCTTGATCTTTATCTGTGATAACATTTTCATCATAAAATATATTCATTGAGATCTCATGCTTTTCCGACGTATACATTATGCATACAATGGATGTGCAAAATGTACACATGTATATGTAATACTATTAGGTACATTCATATTGACAGTGCCTGCAATACAGCATACACATGGACAGTACATAATATTCTCATACTATATACATTTACATGCATATATGTATTGTAGTACATTTTATTAGATTCCTAGCATCTGAAATGTTGAACTTGGTGAGGCTCCTGCCATTCTTAATTGCAAAGTTTGTAGACGATGATAATTGGGACTGTTTTATTATCTTGGGATCAATTTGTGACATGGTCTGATCTTTCAAAGTGCACCCTGATGATCCAGCTAAACTAGCATGTCGGGTAAATATTTACCTTGAAACTTCATCTGTCTTATTTTCTGGAATTTCCAATAACACCAAAAACGCACTACCTCCTTCATCTACCTAAACAATTGACTCTGTCCTATTACACATTTTTATAAAGACAAAATGATTATTATCACAATAGGTTTGGTCCACTACACCACCATTTTTGCATGCCATTTGAAACAAAGAATGTTTCAAAAACGTCCAATATTTGTTGTTACCAGGCATTAGCTTGGTTATCGTACCATTTAGCTGTTCACCCGGGACTACATGCTTCTAATTATTTTTACAGGCGTGATTACCATTACCTAAATGTACATGTAATTGTTATTGATTTTAAAACATTAAGCATGCGTAAAATTATGTAAAGGAAATCAGTAAATACATATAAATATTATGGGTAATCTATCTACACTCGACATGTTCAAAGAAGAAATTAAAAATACTTTAGAAACACAAATTACTTCAGCAAGTCCATACAGTTTAAAGTATTATTACATTACTAACAGTATAGCGCTTTCAATTTACGGAGCTAACAGTTAGTGAATTTATAAAAATGAAATTTTCATGGAAAAAATTTTTACGCATTGGCAATGTTGGTGCCACACCTTTCATTGCAATTGAAATGTTAGCGGATTTACCTTCTGTGGTTTTCTGCTAACCGCAAAAATAGTGAAAGTTTAGCTCCTCAAAAACAAAGCGATATACGGTACGTTATATACATTGTATACTGTGATTTGGTGTCAATCAGTAACAATTCATGGCAATGAATATATACCTGGCACCATCATACGTGTCAAAAAGAATATTGCAGAGTTTGACTACTGTATTATTCATGAAGTCATAGTGTATGAGGCAGAAAAGGTATTGTTCAGGTGATGCAGTTGCAACAATTTCACAAAAATTTGTGCACTTCAAGTTTCATTAACTGAAACTACGAAGTACGTTATGTTGAAGTCACTAAATGTCATGGAGTACTAAATTTCAAAATGTCTTGCTTTCAATTATCATTGAAAAGGATTTTGTTTTAAAGGGTTATGGTGCTTGTTATAGCTGCATGTATTCTTCATTACTTACGTATATTAAAGTAAATCACCTGTTGATAGTTACAGTAAAACCACAGCTCTAGAGCTCAATTAGGTGGTCTAGCAAGTAGCAAGGAGTCAGGTCTGCCAGTGGCCCTTGATTATAGTGGTGTAGTATTCGTAATTCTAGCTACATGTATCTACTGTGTTAAGAATAACAAAAATTTGTAAATTTAATAAATCAACCCACTCACGCCACATTTCCACCAATCCACTTCATTGAATCCGGATTGTTTTTGCTGTTATTAATTTCAGGTGTGTACACAAATCCAGCAGCTGCATTTTCATAAGATTTATCATTCTTTTATAAGAGTATTTATGTTGGTATCTGTTTACATTTTGCTTCGGATAGGTGATGCGTTCTCATGTATTAGTGTAAACAGAAGTTGAATTAGAATTAATTAAAAATGGATTAGTGTAAACTGGGTCTAAGTGTGCTCAATGAGCAATGTAACACACTTTATGTTAAAATGATATAGTAGAGTATGCTAAAAAGTATGCAACATTTCCTTGTGTATAGCTTGAAGCAAAGAAATTTAAAATAAGAAACATAAGAAGACGTACCACATTATAGACCACATCTTCTACAGTCACTATTTTTGAATTCTCCAGTCATTAATTATATTCATAGCTTACCTAATAATAATTCATCATAACTCACCATTAATATGATGTATTTCCTGTTCTGAAACTATTCAAGTTTTCATTCTGCTTCATCTGCCTTTGTCCCGCTCACGGCTTTCTGTAAAGTCTACTGTTAATTTTTTTTGAAAAAGCAGCAATGAAGTCAGTTTAGTTACAAACTTACATCAGCTATCAATATATTTTCTTCTTTCTAGGTAGTAACTTAAAAATGAATGATGCTGATGAGCATGGAGTTCATGCTCCTCCTTTGCCACCACCAGTAGCTAAAGATGGAAGGCTTCCACCACCACCTCCCACAGACCCACCACCACCTCCCTTAGACCCACAACCAGCACTTGGCCTACCACCTCCACCACCACCTTAAGCACTCCCAGTAGCTGGAAGCCTTCCACCTTCACCACTGCCTCCAGCAATTCCTTTAGCTGGAGGCCTTCTATCTCAACCAGCTTCACCTGGAGCTTATAACTTTTCCAAATAAACTGAAAAGTTTAGTAGGGAAGATAAGGAGTGCTGTATGATTGTAGAGGTGGATTTTCTGGTAGATCTGTCTATTTTTAATTGGTCAGATGCTAAGTTACACCATAGACAGCAGTTTCATCCTATAATACACGTACGTTACTTTACTTTTATAAATAATGCATGTCATTATACCTTATTACTAGCTCCTGATAGGCCATACATGTTGCACAGAAACTTGTAATCGCCTGACATGAAAATTCTCATATTATAGTCCCTATAATAACTGCATTATTAGTAATGTGGTAGCATAACTAAGTAGGATTCACCCCCAAAGAAAATGGCTGCCACGACTTTTGCAGCCTCGCTATACCAGGAAAACGAGCTCCTATGCCTACCAGACTTTATAGAGGACCTTATCTTGACCAGAGGACTCCAATGGTACAACTAGCCCGGCTCTAGACCTTGTCTAAGTGAAAAGTCAAAAATAGGCGATCCGGCCGTTTTATTCAGCCACCTTTTTTATCTTCATCATCTTCATTTTCATCAATTCCTGTCAATTGGTGTGTATCTCAGTATCAGTTGATGCTACAAGGATAATTCTTACACTAGTTAACTCAAACAGTCTATGCGCAGGTCCATGTCCCATCAAATCATTCTTCAAGTAAAGAAAAAGTGATACTGTGACAGCTGGATTGAGCCATCTTAGCTGCATGCCGCCATTTTGTTAATTAAAAAAGCATGTGCTCCAAAATTTGGGTGTGGTCACGCATGCTTAGATATGCAGCTTTGGAAGAAGCAATTTATTTTTTACCAAGCTATACTTGGAATCAACTACTGCAATACTTTAATGAAGGTTTCCAGCTAAAAGAAGGTATTAATCTTACATATAACTGTTTTATCAAGTGTGTGAGTCTATTTTACTTTCAAAAACAAACAATTAATTAATGCTATGATATGCAATCATAATATGAATGACAACAGCCTGAAAGAACAGGAATAGCTGCTACATAGCAGGGAAGATGGACACTCTCACCTCACACTTCTTGAACAAGGACTTGGGTCAAAAATAGTATTAATTTCACTTGTAATCAGGATAGTTGATATCCCTTCAGCATGTCTATTCAATGCTGTCTCTCATTAATGATGTTAAGTCATAACAATGATAATAATAATAAAGAAAATTATCATTTGTGTAAAATCAACAAGCATCACAATGGCAACTAAAGAAATATTATAAATATTATAAAAAGTACACAAACAAAAACACAAAGTTTAAAAAAAACAAGGTTAAGTAGGATTCCGAACGACCAACAAAAATACATAATGAAAATCCTACTCGTGATGGAAATTCTACTCTACAGTGCAAGGTGATCCGTAATTCTTACATAATAACATTGAAAGTATAATGTAGAGTAGAATTTGCATCATGAGTAGGATTTTCATTTTATATTTTCATTGGTCAATCAGAATCCTACTTAACCTTGCTTTTTTAATTTTTATGTTTATTATCATTGTTTTTAATGGTATTTACTTACTTCCATTGTGTCCCGTGTAGGCTGGAAATGACTTCGCTGTACTGCTCTGGGGCAATACTCAGATTCACAACGTTGTCTGGAGCTTCAATAAGAGAGAACAGGCAACTATTACAGACTGAATTTGGTTTGTCAATATTCACTATTTGCAAGGACATCTTTATAGATGATCCCACCCTTTGTCACCACCTTGCTTAATCCATATTTTGTTTGGGGTATTACTCCATCATGCCAGGTGAGTTGTCCTAATCTATTAAAATTTTTGGCAATATACATGTATGCGTACAGCAGGAAGTTTACCTACCCTTTTCCTCCAGTAGATGAAACACTACACTAGCAAAATCAGTTACACAGGCAAATGGAGTAGGACGAATCTGCTCACAACTGTGCCATGTTAGGAAAGAAAGGGGTACTGACTCTACAGTAATATTCACTGCTTCCAAATCGTTCTTTATAGCTTCCCTCTGTTTCTTTTCCCTACTCACGTTGATACTCCATGCTTTCATCTATGGAAAAGCAAATAGAGTAAGTCATAAACCCCATTTACACGTTAAACCGCTTCATTCTAAAGCACATTGTAACTTGTTTAAGGTTGTGTCCACACATAATATAAACTTGTGGTTTAATCACAATGGACGTGTAAACGGAAGTGGTTTAGAAGGCGTTTTCTAACTAAAATGGTGGTCCAGAGTTGCTAAAGAAGAGAAGAAAAACAAAGAAAAATAGGAGCTGAATTAGAGGTAACTATTCTGAACTAGCACAATGCATGCCTTATTAACACGGGTAGCTATAGTTACAGCGTCTAGCTAGTCACAAAAGCATGGGAAAAGCATTGATTTTAACTGTGCTTCTTCAGAGACACATTTAAGCAAAGAAACGTGCTGCTTTGGCTAAAAGGAGGGGTTAATAGGATTAAGAGATTCAGGTTGTTTGCTGCCAAGCAAGCCAGAGATAGGATGCTGTTTGCTCTGATACTTACTACTGCATACAGTTACACAATAATGAAGCCTGGTAAAGTGCTTTGGTCCAAGGAGAGGAGTGGAGTTTGGTGGGATAAGATGGTCATGAATGTATTTTCTGAGAATGACTGGATTGAAAACTTTTGTGTAAGTCGCACTACATTCATTTACTTGTGCAACGAAGTACGAACTGAGATTCAGAAAGAAGATACAGTGATGAGAAAGGCATGTACAGTTGAAAAGAGAGTTGGAGTGACCATATGGTTTCTGTCTACTGGGAGTGACTTTAGAACAATTAGTCATCTTTTTGGAATATCCAAATCATTAGTTTGTGTTGTTGTACGAGAAGTCTGCCATGCTCTGTGCAAAGTG